AAAAAAAAAAAAAAAAAAAAAGAGTGGTACTGACACATGTAACAATGTGGATGAACATCAAAATCAGGCTAAGTGAAAAGTCAGACATGAGAAATCATGTATTACATGATTCCATTTATGTGAAACATCCAAAACTGGTAAATCCATAAAGATAGAAAGCAGACTAGCAGTTGCAAAGCACTGGGAGAGAAACAACTGGGGAGAATTGCTCAACGGGTCCAAGGGTTCCTTTGTGGGTGATGAAAATGCTTTGTAATTATGTAGAAATCTTGGTTGCACAATGTGAATATATAAAATGTCATTGAATTACATGCCCTAAGTGGTTAATTCTATTATGTAAATTTCACTTTAATAAAAAATAATTCTAAGGGACCAGCAGATGGTGTAATGGTTACATTGCTGGACTCCCATGTAGTCGATCACAGTTCGAGTCCTGGACCTGGCAGCTTAAAAATCATGCCAAGCATGTGTGTGTGTGTGCTCAAAAATCTCAAGAGGAGAATGTAAGAGAAAGGACTATGGCATGGCTATCCTCTCTGTGGGGGATGACTTCTGGCTTCCTGTCTCTCTGGCAGCACAAGCATTCTACAGCAAAAATCTCTCTAAATAATAATAATAATTTTAAATGTGCACAGAAAAGCTCAGAATTACTTATAATATTTTAAGAAACAGCAAATCAGGGTGAGCACAGCACAGTGGCTAAGTAATTGGAGTCCCACATGGCCGACTGCAGTTTAAGTCCTTGACCTGGAGGTTTAAAAATCATGCTGGGTGCATGTGTGTACATTCCCAAGATCCCAAGAAGAGAAAGGAGGAGAAGCGATTACAGTGTGACCATCTCACTTTCTGTCTCTCTGGTGAGTGCATGTGCCCGATAACAAAAATCTCTGAAAAAATAATAAAGCATATATATCCAAAGTATAATTTTATTTTTATCAATAATTTTCCAGAGAGCATATGCACTTGCCAGAGAGAGGGGGGGATGGGAAGTAAGGAAGCATCCCTCCACCATGGAGGACAATCCTGTCTCTATTTCTCCTTCCTTTCAGGACTTTGGGCACACATGCACACACCTGGCATGTTTTTCATTCCACTGGGTCCAGGACTTCAATTGTGCAGTGCACTGGGTCTAAGACTTCAACTCTGAAGTCAGCCATGTGGGATCCAGCCACCTTAACCATCAAGTCACTAGCTGGCCACAAAGTATATTTTTAAACTTAATTAGGATATGTATATAGACCATGAAATTGTGTTTAAACAAACATAATACTAGGAACTGAAACAAAGATTATATATACCAGGACCAACAGATGGTATAATGGTTATGTTGCTAGACTCAACTGTGAGTCTCGGACCCAACGGCTTAAAATTTATGGCTGTGTGTGTGTGTGCATGTCCAAGATCCCAAGAGGAGCAAGGAAGAGAAGGGATTTTGGCGTAGACTTTCCTGGGGTGAGGGTGAAGTAATTTCTCTCTTTCTGTCCCCCTCTGTCTCTGTCTCTCTCTTTCCAGTGAGCACATGCATCCTATAGCAAAGAAAAAAAAAAGAAGCCAAAAACAAACAAACAAACAAACAAAAAACTCTCTTAAAGAAAAAAAAGATATGTGCCAAGCTCAGGCATAACTATCATCATTTGGTGGTGAGGATTTAGTTTTCTCTTTATACTATGTTGAGTAATCTAAGCTGTCCACAAAAATGAAAAAAATCTCATTTGCTTTGTCATAGAACATTAAATGTCGTAAGAGATTTTCTAACCGATATTTCTAAGCATCAATATTTGTATCCATTCCTCTTGCTTTTTACTTCCACAAAAGCCTTACTGAGGAACAGACTCTCATGATTCTTACCCAGTAGGGGAGCTGCTGATCTGCCATGAATGCTTTGGGACTAGGTTCTGTTTTGCCATTGCTAGTCCATATTTTCTTCCATGTGGTATATTTGTCATATCCATCTTTATGGCTGAAAAGCAATAAAAACACGTACATTGCACTGTAAGCTAATCAGGACAAGTTAGTAAATCTTATGTCCAAGACCTAATTCCTCTGTCGGCAGTTAAGAGATCGGGTTGGAATAAAATCAGGACATACATGATCTGAACTGCACCATCACTCAACTTCATCAGGCTGATATTTGCAGCCTTCCCCATGACGACACTAAAACACCTTTCTCCAGTGCACGGGGGACATTCCTCGTGACCTACTGCAAAACTTGACGAGGTTAAAGCATAGAAATAAAAGCATATCCTGGGACCAGCAGTTAGCGTAATGGCTATGTCGCTGGACTCCCACGTAGTCAACCGCGGTTCGAATCCTGGACCCGGTGGCTTAAACTCACACCGGGCGCGTGTGCGTGCATGCCCAAGATCCCAAGAGGAGAATGAAGGAGAAGGGATTGCAGCGTGGCCATCTCCCCTGGGGGGTGATTTCTTGCTTTCTATCTCTCTGTCTCTGTCTGTGTGGTGAGTATACGCGCCCTATAGCAAAAACCTCTCCAAAAAAAGAAAAAAAAAAAAGTATACCCTCAGGCCATTAAAGAATTAATCTAGAGAAGCTGGAAGGTACCATGGTGGTTAAGGATGCTGGACTCCCACATGGCTAACCGCAGTTCAAGTCCCAGACCTGGCAGCTTGTTTTCTCACTTTACCTCTCCTCTCCCTCTCTCACTCTGTCCCTGACTGGTCAAAATTAAAAATAAATAAAATAAGTAAATAAAGTTAAATAATTCTTTAAAAAATTAACCTAGGAACTGCGAACAAAAAAAAATTGTTACAGCTATCCCCAAAATTTAGAAGTTAAAACGTTTACTTCTAATTAACCTATGAATCGAAAAGATGTCTCAAAGGAAATGTAAAGTTATTTCTAGATAAATGAAAATGCAAATAAAAGTTATCAGAAATTTGTGGGATATATGAGGTCGTTGGGGAAGCCCTGAGGTATTTTTCTACATAAAAATACATCGTGACTTTCCCAATGACCCAACAGTTAACACCAGAGCTTACGGAGAAATCTACAGCATCAAATGCGTTTATTAGAAAAGAAATAAATAAATTAGGCTTACAACTTGGGAAATGACAGAGAAAACTGAACCTAAAGCAAGCAAAAGAAAGTAACTAATAAAGATCAGAGCACAAATCAATGAAATTGAAAACAATGAAACAGAACCAAAATCTGATCTTTGAAAAGATGAGCACAATTTCTAAGTCATTAACCAGCATCACTGAAGGAAAAAAAAACGAAAGACAACTAAGAATAAATAAGTAAATATTGGGACCAGCAGTTAGCGTAATGGCTATGTCACTGAACTCCCATGTAGTCGACCGCGGTTCGAGTCCTGGACCCAGTGGCTTAAACTCACAGCGGGCGCATGTGCGTGCGTGAGTGCCCAAGATCCCGAGAGGAGAATGGAGGAGAAGGAAATGCGGTGTGGCCATCCTCCCTGGGGGGTAATTTCTTGCTCTCTCTCTCTCTGTCTCTGTCTTTCGGGCAAGCGCACACGCCCTATGGCAAAAACCTCCCCAAAAAAGAAAAAGAATCACAGGGCAGTGCCTTGATTTTCCAGAACGTGCGGACTAACGAGAATAACTGCCTTGTGGCAGATATTTTTAAGCCCGCGGATAAACCCACATAAGCACGCACACAACTGCAGTATCAAAGATGTGGTCAAATCACAGCAGTCACAGCTGTGGCTGAAACAGTCGAGTAATACGGTGGGCCGGGGACTAAGCCTTAACTGCTAACTCTTCCCCCAGGAAAACCTCAAACAGTTGGCCAACAAACCTTCTGTAGTAATGGTCAAAGCATTCATTACAGAAATGCTCTCCGCAGGAGAGGTGATACCATCGGGAGGTGTAGCCATTTTTGGCACATCTGAAAAAAGCAAAAACATGTAGCTTTGTTAAGGAATGAGTACTTAACCTCTTTTAAACAAACAAAACATATTGTAGCAAGTACCTCCTACGAACCCACTTTGTACTGTCTCCACTCAGACACCTAACAACCATGAGCTAACAACACGGAAGGCTGGGACAGATAATTACACACAGTAACTCACAGTGAGGACTCAGGGGCTCAGACCAGTGGTCACCAGCCATGCTGGCTGCCTGGGGCTGAGGAGTTTTATTAAGACTCTTGGTGCAATCATAGTATTGTACGACATGATGCCACGAGCTGCTCGCTTGGCGTAAGCTGCATGTCTGTGAGGGAGAGACATGGTCTCCCGTGATAACGTCTGGCCAAGCACTGAAATGTGCATTAGTCTTGTCGTTTGTAAGCTGAACATCACAGAAAAACATAACCTGTCAAAGAGCTGATGGTGCAGTTACAGAACGAAAATCGTGCCACTAAGAACACAATCACCACCTCTTTGTTAAAAAGAAATGGGAACCGGTCCCATAGCCTAGTGGTAAGGGAGCCGGATCCCACATGGCTGACTGCATGGTCTGAATCCCAGCCCCAGCAGCTTGAAAAACATGCTAAATGTGTGTGTGCATGTCCCAAATCCTGACAAGGATAGAGAAACGGAGGGAAGAAACTGAAGCAGGACCACATCCCACTGAAGGTTGCTTTCTCTCTGGCAAGCATACAGGCCCTCAGCCAGTGGGATAGTGGGCGAGGCACTGGGCTTCCACATGTCTGACCATGGTTCAAGTCCTGGATCCAGCAGCTTGAAACCCACACTGGGAGCATGTGCTATGTACTCAAAATTCCAAGGGGGGTTGTGATTTCTCCCTATCCCTCTCACTGTCTCTCTCTGACAAGCCCACACACCCTATGGTAAAAACCTTAAAAATTAAAAAGAAGAAATGAGATTTGTTTTTCAAGATTGACTGCATCTTAGGCTTTAAGACTCTTCTCTAAAAATACAAAAAGATCACACTTGTGCCATTCCAATAAAAATGGTAAGACCCAAAGTCAGTCAGTGGCATAGGTGTTAAGGCGCTAAATCCCACAGGGCATACTGTATAGTTCAAGTCTTGGACCTGGCAGTTTGAAAAACATGCCAGACACAGGTGTGTGCATACCCAATACCCCAAAAGGAAGGAGAAACGAGGGAGAAGAGACCGTGGCGTGACCGTTCCCCATGGGGCTATTTTCTCTCTCTCTCCGGCATGTGCACACAGACTTTGGCAAGTTTTTGTTTCGAGTGGCAAACTCTCAGCTGACTGTACACTGTCTGTGAGGCTGTCTGTGTACAGGGAAGAGAAGGCTGGTCCTGTGAGGAAGAAGAGCAGCACAGGACGTCCTCCTAGAGTGGCTGGTGCGCTCTCCCTCAGTGCTGCCCACCCCACTCTCCACAGGCAGCCACCCTGGGCCGCCTCTGAGGACTCTGCTGAGCTGACTTGGGTGTGGTTTTCCCCATTAGCCCAGTGAGGGGCAGCCCGGAGGAGGGTGTGGTGTGCACGGAATGTCCTGGCAACGTCTCTAGTACAGTATCTGCATCTATTTTTAGGAAACTCTTTGAGGATGATGTTCCCACAAAGAATGCTCTCACTGGCAGAAGCACGAGTCCAAGACATCACCGCCACCCCCAACGGACCTCTCGGAAGCACTGGCGAAGCACACGGGACACGTGGCCGTGCAGCCTGCCTTTTCGCACTTCCTGTACTTCTTCTCTGACCCACCGTCCTCCTCCTCGTCTGCTGGCTCCGTTGCTTTCTTCTTTGCCTGAGAGAGAACAGCTGAGGGTAAGATGTCATGGATGACCAGGCTGCAGGTGATGCAAGGTCTACCACCGAAATCGTTTCTATGTTAGCAGAAGCTCGAAATGTGAAGGTCAAAACATCCTCGCAGTAGGTCAGGGGCCGACAATGCGGCAATCTCCTTGTGACCACATGCTGCAGAAGACTCACCGGCTAGACAGAGGCCTAGCCCTTAAACCACAGGTATCTGAAGAGAAAACTAAAATCCATCTCAGTTTTCTTTGGAAAAAGGGATAGCCATCAGAATAAAAGTCACTCTCACATTCAGATTTTTATCTTTGTTTACTTAGAATAGTTATATCTTCCCAGTATTGCAGATTTTAAAACAATCAGAAAAGCAATAATATAATTCCACTTATTTCCTTAAAAGGAAAATAAAGCTTTACAGAAAGGTGGCAAGGGGGCTGGCCCTGTTATCACGCAGTTAAGTGCTGTGCACTGGAAGTCAGATCCCACACGTCACTCAAATCTGGATCCCTGTTACTTGAAAATACAACCTGGCATGTGTGCACGTGTGCTCAAAATTCTGACGAGAAGGAGAAATGGAAGATGAATGTGTCCCTCCTTCCCCACACAAAACGGGAGTTAAAGACTATGGTGGGACCATGCCTAATGAGAGGATGCTTTCTCTTTCACTCTGGCAAGCACATATGTCCTCTGACAACCAAAAAAGAAAAAGAGACGCAGCCCTCCACAGAACACCCAGCCAACTACGAGCTGCAGTTTCTGTTTCTGTGAGTGCGACCTGGCCCCAGCTGGCCCCTGGAAGCAAGCACGCAGCTGCCACTCTCTGAACGCCGTGTGTGTGTGGATTCACACGCCAGGCCCCTACTGCAGCCCCCTCTGCCAGATACGCTCCTTCCATTGCTTTATCACTGCCCGATGACTGTACTGGGACGCTCTCCACCAGACAGCATGGACTTGAGCAGGGGAGCTGCATCTCTCATCTCTGATTCTCGACTCCAGACCCTGTGGGGGCCAGTCTTCCCTCCCTCCTCCCCTCCCTCTCACACAGTGAATGAAGGAAACAACGTTTTTCATCACAAATGAACATGCTCAGAAAAAGCGCCCTGGATGAATAAGCGAGTACTACCTGCCGACCGGAGCTCCTCAAAGGTAGGCTATCTGGTGAATGATCAAAAGGTGCCTTTTTCTTTGTCCTCCCCCGTAGGGTTGCCATTATATGAAAAACCTGCAAAAACAAAACAAAACACACACACACACAAATAAACTATTAAATAATAGAACATCTCATGTGTGACAGTTTGAGGAAAGTTAGTGTGGAATTTGGCAAGTAATCTGCATGCTCCACGGTCAGACTGCCTGAGTACAAAGCCAGCCCTTCCAAGTCCCTTCATGTGTCTCAGCCTCAGGGTTCTCCGATACAAAACAGCACAGTAAGAGCGCACCACGGCACCAGAGAGAAAGGAAACAGGATGACCTGGGTAAAACGCCAGGACTGGCATGTCGGTAGTCAATCGATAGTCATGAGTAGTGTGCACATTTAAAAGTGATAAACATACCACACGAAAGACCAATAAAGAATCACACGACTGCTTGCAAAATTCAATGAGGAAAAACAGCTGGTTCTTGTCTGTCATGTTGCTCTCCATCTCACTGTTCCTGAATTTTTTTTTTTTTGGAGAGATTTTCGCTATAGGTCACGTGCGCTCGCCAGACAGACAGAGAGAGACATAGAGACAGAAAGCGAGAAATCACCCCCCAGGGGGGATGGTCACACCGTAATCTCTTCTCCTCCATTCTCCTCTCGGGATCTTGGGCACGCACGCACACGCGCCTGGCGTGAGTTTTAAGCCACCGAGTGCGGGACGCGAACCGTGATCAACTACGTGGGAGTCCAGCGACATAGCCATTACGCCAACTGCTAGTTCCCTGTTCCTGAATTTTGCAATCTCAGTATATTTTAAGAAGAAAACGCATTCATTCTTAGTAAAACTCAACAAACAAATACCGGGCACATTCTCTAGCCACTAATGAATACAAGAATATGAATTAGATAAAAGAACTCATATCTTCTGCTGAAAGTTTTTTGAGTTCTCAAACTAGTCTAATAACAGCATGATTAAACAAACATTAAGAACTGCGGTCTACAAGAGAAATAATGCACAGTAACCATGACAGGTTAAGAGATATTAGAATTTTTTCCATTAAATTAGATAAGGAATGAAAACTGTTAACCTAAGTACGCAACAACATATCAATTCTATAATTATCACTCTTCTTCCCTGGTCCGCTGACTTACTATACATATATACCAATACACAAAATGACAGAAGGAGAAATAAACAGGACACATCTAAAGGTGAAGATAATTTCAGAGAGTTGCCTAAAATACAAACTCCATCTGTATAATCTTGATATTATTATAATCCTGTTATTTCATGTTATGGATTACCAACATCATGTGAATAAACTTTTCACCGATCACCTACAGTGACTCTGAGACATCCTGGTACTAATATCAAGGATGATCTCCCTTTAACTGAGTCTTTACTTTCTCAGAAGCAGTATTATGTCAGCTGTAAACACACAAACTGCACATATTCTGAAATGCATTATAATTCTGTAAGCCTTAAGTAAATTGCCTTTAATTCTATACCATGCATTACACTGCGGGGTAAACTGCTAACAATGTTAAGAGTATACTACCTACCTATAATTTTATAGCCAAAGGATGCTTTCTGCATCTCACGAGTATTTTCAAAAGGCCATCTACTCTAATAAATCTCTCTGTACACACACGCCAATATAAATTCAAATATACAAAGACGTAAATCTCTTCACTTATATAGAAGACATATATTCCACATTATTCAGAAAATGAACCATAAATATATGTAAATATAAATGTGAGCAATATTTGTACTAAGAACTATAGCAAAAATATCTGAGGTCCACTGTGGGGTTTGGGAGCATAAACGAAGTCAACCTGGGCTCATGAAACCTTTGACCCAGTCACTTAGGAATGCGCTCATTCCAAAATATAGCAGTTTCCAGAAACTGTGTCAAACATTTTCATTGAACTGTATACTGGAAAATGTGTATTTCATGCAATAAAGAATAATAAAATTCAAGACATGGTGAAAGAGGAAATGAAAACATTAACTATAAAAGGTACTATTAAGGGGCCAGCAGGTGGTATGGTGGACAAGGGTGCTGGACTCCCACATGGCCAACCACAGTTTTTGAGTCCCAGACCTGGTGGCTTTCTCACTTTCTCTCTCTCTTTCTGTCCCTCTCTGATCAAATTAAAATAAATAAATAAAAATTATTTTTTTTAAAAAAGGTACTATTAAATTTGATTAAAGGGCTTTTTAAATGTCATTATTTCCAGAGAGCACGGGCAATCCCCAGAGACAGAGAGAGAGGAAGTGCCCCAGTGGGGTGCGGTCACAGACCCCTTCGGTCTCTCCATTTCTCCAGTCTCTCCATTTCTCGGTCCTGCTGCATCACTGAAGGTTTTAAGGTAGGACTCTCTACCTTTAATTCTACACTTGAGCGTTTTGCATCTCTATCCTTTTTTTGCACTTACTTTCTGTATTTCTACCGTGGCTGGGTCCTTAAGTCTTAAAATTAAGGGACCAGCAGGTGGTGTGGGGGTTAAGGTGCTGGACACTCCCACATGGTTGACCATGGTTTGAGTCCTGGATCTGGCAGCTTGCTTTCTCACTTTCTCTCTCTAGTCAAATTAAAATAAATGAATGAATAAATTTTTTTTTAAATAAAGCTTTTTAAAAATTAAGGGGAAAAATTGTTTTTAAAGTGGAAAAGACTAAAATTGTGCATTCAAATATCTGAGAAACATTCATCAAAGTGTCACTAAAATAATTAGAATACTGAAAGTGTTTTCCCACCAAATTCCTCAAATAAACACACCTAAGTAAATATAATCAACTTGTTTCTGGTTCAATATTATTTTTATATGAATATTAATACTTAATTACTTGATTTTTTAAAAGTGTTTTCTGTATATAGACAAGAGTACTTCAAAAAGTTCATGAAATGCAATGTAAGGATGTTTATCTTGGTGAAAAAAATTTTGAAGTTCATAGATAACTTTTGCACAATACCCATTTTCCACAAACTTTTTGAAGACCCTATAGTATAAATATCTACACTTCTATTTTAGTAATTCCTAGGATTTTTTCTTTTTCTTTCTTTCTTAGGATTTTTGCTATAGGCTGGATGTGCTCATCAGAGACAGAGAGAAAGCAAGAAATTACCCTTGGAGGGGGGATGCCAATCCCTTCTCCTCGGTTCTCCTCTTGATGTTTCATGCACACACGCACATGCACCCAGTGTGAGTTTTAAGCCACCAGGTCCAGGACTCAAACTGGGTCCGGGACTCAAACCTCAATTGACTATGTAGGAGTTCAGCAACATAACCATTATGCTATGCCATCTGCTCGTCCCAACTTCTCGTTTTTTTGTTTTGTTTTGTTTTTAAAGAGCTTTTTCCTACAGTGCACATGTACTTCCCAGACAGAGAGACAGAAAGCAAGATATGACCCCCACCTGCGGAGGGGGGAGGACCAACCCTCCACTCAGGTCAGGGAATCGAACCCTGGTCAACTATGAGAGTCCAGCAACATAACTACTATGCCATCTGCTGATCCTAACTCCCTAAAGCAGCATTCTATGAAAAATATATTTTTTAAAACACACTCACAGAACTTATAAAACTATGAATCAAAAAGACTCCAAGTTAGAATTAAAATTCAGGATGGAGTCAGCATAATCTCTAAACATGAGAAAAACTACCAGAAACTTTCTGAGACGACAGCAGCAGGAACTTCCCTATAGGCCGCGTAAAATAGGAGCCGAACCTTGCAACTCCCATCCTAATCGAACGTTCAGAAACAAAGGTCCAAAACAATAATTCAACACGAACTATTCAATATTCGACATCCAGTTCAACAATTCAATATGGAAGCCCCAGTTACCTAGAAGTCGTTTGTTCACTAATGATACTTTTTCTTCCTGGAAGACAATCATTGACGGTCATTTCCTCATGCACCACTTAATAAAGAAAACTTCCCTCCCACTCGCCTTTTTGTCCTAAAATAGATTAAAAATCAAAACAAAACTGGCAAGCCTGGAGCGGTGAGCGCACGTGCAGAATGGGGCTTCCCCACCTCCAGTGGTCTGTGGAGTCTCAAGGCTCACCCAGGGGACCACTGGGCCTTTGGGTGGCTGGGTTCTAGACCCTCGCACCCCAACTTTCTACAGCTGGGCCTGCCTCTTCCTTTCTGTCTCACCTGCGGCCGCCAGACGGTTGTCCCCAGCGACTCTAGCCAGACGGCCCTCCGAGTCCGCGATACCGGGGAGTTTCCCAGCAACCGGCGCAGAGTGCCCGCCGGGCCTCCCCGGGCCGACGCCGGGCCGCAGGACGGCCGAGCACCTGCCGGGATGTGCGGGCTCCGCGCCCACGGCCGGCGAGTTCCCAGGCGGACACCCGCTCACGCGACAGGCTCTGGCACTCCCAGAGGGAGCCCCAACGCCCCGCCGCGTTCCCTGCAAAGCCTGTTCGGTGTCCCCCAAAGTGGAGCAGCAACACCGGCTCACCTGGGCGCGGAGGAGGTGCGAGGAGTCTCGGGGAGTCGGCACAGCTGCAGAGGAAGCACCGCAGCGTTAGGAGGCCCGCCGCGCCGCGACGAGTGGGGGAACCCACCGCCCGACACCCGGCCGAGGGCTCCCC